GAGATTCTCCCCTTCTTTATTATAACTAGAATATAGACAGTGAAAACAGCCTAGAATGTACAAAATGACGCTCCTATATACACATAGTAGTCTTTCATTCCCGCATTATAGACCGTAAAGAGCCAAATTCCTGGTCTGCCAACCCCCACAAACTTGGCTATTTTAGACAATCCGCTACATCCACACCCCTCATACCCCACAATCCACTCCCAATTTAACCAGCGGCATACCTGGAAATAGCACGAAGCTTAGGCCCGAAGAAATAAAACGCAAAAGGGGCTGACCAGCCAATAGCTATGGTAATGAAAGCCAGAACACTCGTACCCCAGCCATAGCCGAGAGACGAATACATATACGGCGCGAAGAGCGGGAACCCAAACCCACACAAACTGCGCAGAATGGCGCAGGCCGCCATCGCACTAGCCGCGTAGGTCTCGTAGCTGTCCACGATATACGTCTGCATTCCCTGCAAACAGGAGATCGTGCCTGCGGTGAAGAGCAAAGCCCCGATATTAGGCATGATCCAGTGCGTATGCCCGATACTCCAGCCGTACCAGAATAGACCAATAGTGCTAATGAAGGAACCCACCGCTAAGGACGGCATGCGGTACTCTGGCTTACCGACGCCGTTGTTTCGAGCCTTGAGGGTCTTGTAGATCCGGTCGACGAGCTTGAGATTGATGAAGAGACCGGCAAATGACCCAATAGCAATGGAAATGTAGTTTAGTCCGCCAATGCTGGAGCTCTCTTGGTAGATCTCTGTCCAAATATCCGGGAACGTTGCTAACATGAGGTACGTTACGCCGAAGAGGTAGGCCATGTAGATAGCCATGCAGAAGACGATAGGCTGTGTTGTGAACAGAAGCATAGGTCGCTCGAAGGCATGCAGAAGTCTGTAGGCAAGCGTTTCTACCTTCTCGCCGGTATGCAGCTTAGTGTTTCCCGTCTTTTGGATGAGGACGTCGCATCGTTTCCGTAGAAGCGTAGCTGGGTGACATTCACGTAGCCAGATGAACCCGGTAACCTGTACCGCGACGGCGGCGGCAGAGGTTGCCCAGAAGACCCAACGCCAAGTCGAGTACTGGGCGATAAAGCCGCCTGCAATAGGCCCAATTACGGGACCGAGAATTGGTCCAAGAGTATAGACTCCCATGGCCTTGCCACGGTCTTCGGCGCTCCACATATCGCTGCATACAAGACTGGTTAGCAAACGTAGGATATCTCGGGGATTTTATTATTCGCTAACCCAATGGCACCTCCTCCAATTGCGAGTGGTGCACTGCCACCAATACCCGCAAGAAAACGAAAAGCAAAGAGTTGGGACTTTGTCTGCGCGAAACCGCATCCCAGATTCCAGGCTAGATACCACACATTGCTGACCTGGAGCAGACGTACACGGCCGTAGAGCTCGGAGGCTGGACCGAAGAAGGTGGGGCCAATGGAGTAGGCGAGGAGGAAGATTGCCATGGATAGATATATTTCGACATCGGAGTGCATGCCCAGGGCCTTGCCGAGATCTTGCATAGCGGGGGCAATCATGGATGATGAGACCGGTGAGATGAAGACGAACAGGGAAATAACACAGGTATTCTTCCATTTTGTGCCCTTGGGCCAGTTCTTGGGGTTCTCTGGGTCATTTGGTCCGCTCCATGAGATGAGATCCGGGTCTTTGTTTGCATCGGCATTGAGGGAGGGTTCGGTTAGGGTTGTAGGTTTGGCTGCTTCGAGGTCTGTCGTCTCGTGGGAGCCCTCGTCCGAGTCGTTTGAGCTCTTGTTGCTCATCTTGGGATGGTTATTAGATATATTGAGATAAAGAGCTTAGTTTCATAATGTTATACTACCAGAAATTCACGTCAGTAGTTATATACTCCTAGAACAGTTTACTATGCCTATCCTCTGGCCAATGGCTGAGCTGTATTTCACTTCGGGGCCAGATCACCGACACACCGTCCAATAGAACGAAGGAATTGTTCGGGCCCGTTGGTGATCGCCCGCCCCGCTGTCCAATGGGAGGGTATCATTCTTCGGGCCCGGCCCGTTGTGTTTGCCTGAGGCGTAGGGTCGACTACACAGCCCTTAGGGCGTAGAAGATCTATTAGGGCTCTATTTTGCATAGATCACGACTCACAGTCATAGGAGAATGTATCACCTTTTATTTCACTAACCTAGCTAATTTCCGGAATTCAATCATCTGTTGTCACCACCTTCAAAGCTTGGATCCTGAGACCTTGGAGATCGCTAGGGGAGAGAAAGAAGGATTCACAGTGCTTTGCTCGGTGATGAAGGTGCTTGAGAACATCTCCCGGCTATATTAGGGATGCGCATCCATATCGAGAAAGAGTGAGATCACGAAAGTGGGCAAAAGAGGTATGTAGTCACATGCCTAGAGTATGTAGTGATGATCACCCAATTCCAATAAAGTCGAGCACTATACAATGACGTGATTTCAAACTCCCCTGGAACCTTGTATACAATTCAGTGGGCTGACAGGTACATGTACCTGGATGTACCTGGGTGTACCAAGCATCTGCAAGGACCTAGTCATCTTGGAATATGTATGGAAGTGGATTGTATATATTATGTGATCACGGGTATCTCAAGCCATCGTCTGATCTTCATGCAAGAATTAAGCAATGTATTATCGTCTGAGGTTAATAGTAGACGTATCATTTAGAAGCCTCTTTCTAGAAGGACAGGCAAAGATGTGAAGATAAGCTTAAATTCTCTAGTCTCTATACCACATCTGGGGATTGCGATAACCCGACGATAACGATATTATATAGACTTACAACCAACCAGGTTGGAAGGCCCGAGGTGTTGTCTCGCTGACAAATTGAGCAAATGTACCTACCCCCGCAGTATGTGTTGATACAAGTACTCGGTGTTTTGCTGATTTACTTAGCAAAATATCACTACCCATCCTAAGTCCTCAGGAGACAATCACCTCACTCATCATGAGACCCGTTACAATTGGAATTGTGTCGATCGGAGACATGGGCCTAGGGATGGCCCGGCTCCTCAAAGCACACGACTACCGAGTTGTCACGGTCGCAGAAGGAAGAAGGTACGACTCCAGCAACGGGATCCCAACCCGAGAAACTAACGGTCGCCAGTGAACACACACTGGCCCGAATTCATTCCGCAGGCATCGAAATCCTTCCCACAGACCAAGCGCTAGTAATCCAAGCCGACTACGTACTTTCGATCGTACCTCCGCGGAACGCCCTAGCGACCGCACAACGAATCGCAGACGCATCTAGTCAGCCACTGACCGGCAGTCTCCGAGAGGCAATAGAGGATGTAGAAAGCAAGCCGAAGAGGTCCAAGCTATACTACCTGGAGCTCAATGCAGTACCCGCCCGACTGGCGTCGGAGATGGCGACGCTATTCAGCGAACCAACCACAGGCCCGGAAGAGCGCCGAGGGTGCCACTTCGTCGATGGCGGAATCATTGGGCTGCCGCCAACGCAAAGCACGCAAGACGGGAGCTGGAAGAAACCTAGTATTGTGCTGTCCGGGTCGGTGGATCTGGCTCCGAGGTTTGCGACACTAGCCAGCGTCCTGAATATAAGGCTTGTCTCACCTAGGGTTGGCGCCGCATCCACGCTCAAACTGTCCTTTGCGGCGCTGACCAAAGGTCTTACCGCACTGTCTATTTTGTCGTTCTCCACTGCGCAGAAAGAAGAGATGTTGCCGGAATTGTTGGCGTTGTTAGAGGAGTATTCTCCACGTACTGCGGCACTTGCGACGAATGGGGTGATTGGTATGAGTCCCAAGGCATACCGGTGGGAAGATGAAATGCGTGGGATTGGGGAGGCGTTTGATGCGGAGGGTGGGTGGAATGGGATCGGAGCCGATGTTTATGGAGGGTTTGCTGAGATCTATCGGACCATTGCGGAAGATACCATATTAGGGGAGGAAACAGTGGAGCATCGAGTGCGAGGTATAACGGTTGAGGACGCCTCCCAGATCATCGCTCAAAGGCAAAGAACAAGTAATACTCCGTATTGACATTAGTATAAAGCATATGTCATAAAAAAGGACGATCTCATGTTTCTAGACTGTGCGGGAGGGGGGATTTTGCTTCCGGTGCCAAGGCTCGGGATGTACTGCCCGTACTGCGACTTGAGTCCGCGTCATCCGTGATGCACTGAACATTAAACAAATCATGGAACATATAGAATACACTTACGTGCACTTTAGTACAGTTCTTACAGTTCTTACAATTTTTACACCTTTTATCCATTTTATAACACTTGTACTTATACATTGTAGTACTTCGTATACCTATATTCCGGACTTGAATCAGGTACTGGTCCCGTTAAGTGGAGATTGTTCAGGTCCCCCTTTTTTTTCTTGTCAAAGAGCTTGATAGCTCAGTTCTTGAATCTGGAGAATCTCTTAGCTATACTTTATAAATTGGTTATCCTTATATATCCTTATATATTATTATATGCCCGAGGTCCCGTATGGACGGGATACCCCATACATCTCTCTCTATTCCCCCTCAAAGCGGTGAATGCTCCAACGGACGAACCAGAAGTCGCGATCACGACATTTCTCCATTCTATCAGATCATCGACTAGCATCGTTTTTCTTCCTCGTCTTCCTCGTTGCCCCCCCTTTTTATTAAAACAACTCCATTTATTTCCCTTCTAATTCGTTCAGGTGGAACTCCCGCGGCATGCGACGATGAAGTGACCTTTTTTTTACTAGGTGATCGTGGCCGAGAACTCAACTTCCCGGTCTTTTCTACTCATCTACGGAGTACTTTTTGTCTCACTCTTATTTATTTGTTTTTTTTAAACTCTTTTGCCTTTTTTTTCGCCTTGATTTTTATATTAGGCAATTTTTTAACTGGTGATTCTGATTTACTTCATAGAAAATCCCGTCCTGATCTGGGGTTTCCAACATCATAAGCCCCTCTTCTCTCTCAACTCACATAACCCTAAGGTCAAGGGGGCTGAACTTCTTTTTTCTATTTCTTTCCTTCTTCAACCATGCCGGGGGAACAACCACCTTTGCCAGGTCCAGGTCCAGTCTTTGACAAACTTGAGAACTTCAATTTTTTGATGTCGCGTCACGATCCGGCAGCCAAGACTCGACAGTACTCATTTGACGCTGATACTGGGCTGGTCCCATTTGGCAACGTGAGTATGGATTATGATCAGACCGAAGGCATGGGCGGTCTGTCTGTCAGTTCCTATGAGAGTATAGAAGACGACCGCAGCTCCCTCGATCTCCGAGGCTATCCCTATCACGGTACGTGTCAAGCTTTTGAGATCTCTTGTGTCCAATGTTGCATTTGTTACGCCATCGCGCCTCTGCGTCTGAGCTTTAGTTCTGGGGCTTTGAGTTCTTTCTGAAAATTGAAGTTCGATGTGTCTATTTTTTGGGGCCTGATTTTCTCCCATGGTTTTTTGGTTGTTTTTTTAAAAAAAAAGAAAAGTCACCTGGATAACCAGGTCGCTGAACCTCTTCCCTCTTCCCCTCCCCTGCACATGTTCAAATTTCATTTTTTTTTATAAAAAAAGCGCTCGAGGCTGCAGAGCCCAGGATGTGAGCAGTTGGCATGCATCCTTCATCTCCAATGGTGGAAGGAGATCACCGTCGGTGCTCCTAAATGTCACGAGCACGCAATCCCGCAATGATATGACAAACGCCAGTGGTTGCCTGCTGACGCTTAACTGCACATCCCCTTGAAACCCTTCTTGAGCTTATATCCTTCCGGAATATGATTTGCACTTCCCGATCCATGGGGCTCACTCCCTCGGGGTTATATCGACTTCGATCGCTTACTCCATCCATAGGTCCTCCCGGCGAGAAGTCCGTCAACTACAATCTTCCAGAGCACATGATGCCCTACTCAGCACACTCAATCTACCCACCAGTCCCTTATGCGCCCGACGAGCTCGGTCACGCACAGGGAGCCCTCACTCCATCCGATGTTTCCTCATCCATCTCCCCGCCCAACGGCCAAATGGGAAACACCAAGTACAGCACCACCATCTCCGGCGATCGCATCGCCGCCGCCCTCGATCAAGAGGAGGGCGTACGTGGTGCCGCAGAGGAAGATCGTCGTCGTCGAAATACCGCTGCCAGCGCCCGCTTCCGTCAGAAGAAGAAGCAGCGCGAGCAGGTCCTCGAACGTACTGTCCGGGAAACTACCGAGAAGAACGCTGCCCTTGAAGCTCGCGTCGCCCAGCTCGAAATGGAGAATCGTTGGCTGAAGAACCTCCTCACCGAGAAACACGATGCCAGTTCTCGTTTGCCGGCCCCGGTTAAGGATAGCTCGGCTCTCGAGCTAAAAGGTCCTGGAGCCAATACCAGACAAAAACATATTCAGCCCAAAAAGAAGGGCGTCGGCACCGAGGAGTGACGAGCCAAAATGGAAGAATGTGTGCTTTTTTTTTGTCGCTTGTTTGCGTTGTTGTTTGGTCGTTCTGTTGTTCTTTGTATCATCTCCTCAGCCTTACGTCTCCTATGGTCTTCTACTCTACAAGGCGTCCGTACCGAATCAGCATTTTCTGCTCTTTTCCCCCTCCGATCTCCTTGCTTTGCTATGGTGTCTGCACTCGTTTCTTTCTTTCCCCCCTTTCTCTATCAGAAATGGAAGATGGGAACAGATGAGCGCAGACAAATGACGATGTCACGACCCTTCTCTTCTTCTCGTCTGCCCGGCTCTCCCGACCGTGGCTTTTTCGACTTCTAGGGATGGTCTTTTCTTCTGCACTTCAGATCTGGCACTTTCGTTTGATATTTTCCAATCCCAATCCCCCCTCCTTCTCTACTCTCTACCATCGGGCTTTTATCTTTATATCTCCTGCCCAGGCTCTCTACCTCTTACATCCTCTCAACCCTTCCTATCCTCTTTCCATCTGATCGTGTGCTGCGAAGGCTTGTTTCATGTTTTCTTCCTTTCCCCGGGGTTGCGGGAAAGGAGATGAGTTGGCGGTGTTGTGGTCCAGACTCGGGGAAGTCGAATTTGCTTTTCTTTTTTGCTTTTTGCTTTATGGTATTACATCTCTTTTTTTCTTTTCTATGGGACTTGCTATTTTGCTATTTTTCCGTCCTTGCTAGCTATCTATGGACTGGAATGCGTGCAATATAAACTATGGGGATTATTGCTATACGAATTTACCTCATTCTTGCTACCATCCTACTCTTACAACATTCTCTATAGAATTCTTTACTTCCCAGATACGTAATAGCAAAAACGTAAAAGCAGCGGTGAGTGACGTGATTTATCTGGCGTGCTATATCAGAGCGATTTCCTCATTGAGATGAACTGCCATTGGAAGAATTGTCTCACTTTTCCGGGGTAAGGGTCTAATCCCCACTTGGGCACTGTTCAGGCGAACTGCAACCACACAGACTGTACCTTTTGAAATCAGCCTGAATATATGAATCTATATCTATATGTAGTATACTACTTTGGGTAATATCAATTTCTGCAAACAATTCATTAGAACACCTTGATTACCCTGGACTATCCTAATCGAAAAAGCCAAATCAAAACCAAAAAAAACAAGTCAACATAAGATGGTATTACATCAATTAAGTAAAAACAGGGAATGGAAATAAGAAAAGAAAAAAACCACAAAAACAAAAGAACCGAGGCAATTCTCACTTGATCTCAGGTACATCTCCAACTCGTGGAAAAAGTAAAAAGGGAAATTAGACCCACGTCCCTCGATCTAAGCATGGAGAAAGTGGACATCCCCAAAGCACGATTCAGAGCCGTTGGATCACGACATTGAGAGGCGTTCATGCGAGTCCAAAGTTGCATGGCGTGATTGATGTGCGTATTCTTTGAGAATAGCACGGAATTCAAGAATAAAACGAAACATAGTATATGGAAGAGTCGGATGGGGTTTTTGACAAAGGAACGTCATGAAAAACGGACGGACAAATGATAAATTCGTATATCATTTGTCGAGAATTTCAGCCGTCAGATTCGTGATAAGGAAAAGGTGGAAATCTTTTTTTTTTTTCCTTTTTCATTCATTCCACCCCTTATGCAGTAATAGGCTCACGCTCCTCTTCACGTCCTCGCAACTCGCCCTCAATGGTGCTGACACCGTCATCACCATCCTCGTAGTTGGGGTGCTGGTCAGCAGGCAACCAAGAGTCACGATCCCCAGCCAAGGGCTGGTCCTGTCCAGACAGATCCACGCCCTCGCGGTTCTTGCTGAGGTTAGAGCGGTGACGCTGGGAGAGGGTGCGGGAGCGCTGGGAGAGACTAGACTTGACGACTGCCTTGGAAGAAACCCAGTTGGTGAGGGCATCCTCGCAGTCCTGGATGATAGCCTTAGAGGCATCGTAGCCGTCGTAGGCGTGGCGGGTCTCGCCGGGAGTGACGGGGGTGTCGTCGATCAGGTCGAGGAGGTGCTTTCCGTAGCCAGCGACGATGGCGACCTTCTCGCAGTGCTCGCGGAGCGCATCGAACTGGTACTGGAAGGCAGCCTTGACCTTCTCGCGGGTGATGTTAGATAGCTGGGCCTCGGCGACCAGGGACTCGGCTTCGGCGCGGACAAGCTCCTGCTCTAGCACGACGATGCGGGGAGAGTTGGGGTCCTTGTACTTCAGCTTGGCGATCTCATCGGTGATCTTTTGCTTGCCTGCGAGATCCATTCGGTTAGTTAATGCTGGAGAGTTGGGCGGACACCGAAGAGAGGATCTTACGGTCTCGGCTGGGCTGTACGGAAGCCTCGATGTTGCGGATACTCTTGATAGTGACACGGTACTGGTCGTAGCGGTCAACGAACATATCCTCTAGCTCACCGATCTCGTAGATCAGCACGCCGAGCTTGTCCGTCACATCCGACACATCCTCATCGCATGCTTCACCCCAGATGGAGAGTTGTTGCTATGGCGACCGAATCAGTTTCCAATTTATCTCCTCGATTATCACGGATTCAGGGCGATTCACATACAGCGACTTCCATGCGCTCCCGGGCGACGAGTTCCATGCTGCGCATGGCGTTCTTTTCCATCTTGACGAGCTGCGACAGCTTCTTGGCGAGATCGGGTCCGAAGGCACCGGCGGCGTTCTTGCGGAAAGCATGGCCTGGTCGCAGGATGTTAGGGAGTTCAATTTTTTCATTTTCTCCATGAGCGATCGCTCCGACGACTGGTAGTCTCCAATTTGGCCGTTGTCTCTCTCGGAGGTGCGAACGGAGGGGAGGAGTCGATGGCGGCCCAATTAGGCAGCCTCCAACGTGACGAACATCGGGAGATTTCCAGTTGTCGAAGCTGATCGCAGAAATATGAAATATCTCAATCGCACTCACCGATTCCGCCTTTCCCTAGCCATCTCCCAGTTTTGGTTGTGGACAGTGGTGGTGGTGGACTCTCGATCTGCGAGGCGGTGGGCACGCGCGACTGGCGCATGGAATAGGTGCGATGCATGGCTTGGACCGGGGGGCGATTGGTGATGGGAAGATGATTGTAGAGATGTAGAGATGCTTGTTCCTGTAGAAAACAAAAAGAAATTAGAAAGAATAAAAAAAAAGGCTTTCTAGTGCCTTGCGCAGTAGTGACGTGGGTTTAAAGAGGGGAGATTCTCTTTTCTTTTTTTTTTCTCTTTGGAGTACGTACTTGACCTGACTGTGACGAAGAAAAAAAAAAGGATTCGACTGCAAACGGACAGGGGAGAGAATATATTCTGACACCTCAGCTGATCAAAAGGTGAAGATGCTCCTGGAAGCTCTCGGGAAGTGACGTCGACTATTTTTCTGAAGGAAATCGGGGGGATTGGGCGCTAAGACACTAAAAGACACTAAGAGAGGATAAAAGAGGATAAAAGATATTCAGTGGTAATCAGCCTCTACTAGCTCCCCCATTTCAGTCAATTTAAGCCAAGTTAAGCCAAGTTAGGCCGATTTAAGCCAATAGTCGGTCGATCTTGTTGAAGTTGCATTTTCTCTCGACTCTTCACGATCACCGACGTCATCGATTTCCCCCTGATGTCATGGAGTCTTAAAACGGTTGCATTTCTTATTAGTATCTTAGTATTAGTATATAGCAATATAGTATTATTATATACTATATACTACATCCAACAGTAACCATGAGTACCTGAATTTCCCCTTTCTGATAAAAAAAAAAAAAACCTGCAAGTACACTGCATCTAGGTACATACTGTATAGAAACTAATAAAACCAATAAAACTACCATTGGTGCCCCAGTTCCACTGATCGCTGATCGCTGATCGCCGAGATTGTGGAACTCCTGTTCGTGGGGAAACCCATGTGGTCTCGGGTTGGAATTCCATCCACTAGGGTTTTACAACATACAATTGTACGTTAAAGACCAAGGAACTGGAGTTACAAGTGTGGGTGGGATTAAATCAACCTAGGTACAGAATACATAGCATAGATAGAAGTTATCCTTTGCAATGTTGGAGACATGAGGTTACTGCTTGACAAAGGCATTCATTTAAACGGCCTTGGAGCCCATTCCGTAGATGTCAACTGTTCTGAGGAATATGGTCTCTTTATAGGTTGACAAAAAGGCGCGTGTGACGTTCTTGTCCCGCATGTACCGGGCCACTTGGCCTAAAAGCACAACTATTAGTACATCGATGAGTCGTGAGTATAGGGTGTAAATCATACCAAGGATGTGGCGAAAGGCAGCCTCATTCGGCCACAAACAGCCGCAGCCTATTATCGGGCATTCGGAAGTTTTCCCGAATCCATGCTATCCTGACTTCGCCGACGAACGCAAGATCAGCACAATGATCAACGGACACAGGATGCTACTGGTTGGCTCGGACGCTTGTTCAAACGGCATTGTACGCCGCCCCGTTTCCGCATACCAACTGTTCCTCCGAGATTGCATTTTCTGCGCCACCGGTCAACAATAAGCACATGCCTGGAACCACTCAGATCACACGAGGAGCATCAACTTCAACGCCCTCGCTGGTAGGGCATCGCGATCGGCCCAAATACCGCCCATTCAGAAAGCCACTCCGCCTAGTAATGCGAAATAGTAGGCTGATATGGGTCGCCCGCAGTCCAGGTGCCGCCATATCATCCCGTTTGATTCTGGCTCTGGCTATCTGCGTAGTGTGTGACCCACATAATGGTATCCTAGATAGGAAGGGGGGGATCGTGTCTTACCGAGTATCTGGATAGTGGGTCAAAATTGCTGTGCTACAACCTGGGTCTGGAAATTTCCCATCCAGGTATCATTTCCAGGAAAAGTTCCTTTCCAGTTGGCAAATAAGACATTTGCCTCCGAACAAAATGCATATCGACAAATTCAAATGGCCCTGTTCCTTGGCCTTGGCAGAAGAGAAAAGGTGTACTTTAGGGTTTTGCGACCAGGATTATAATGAGAGAGTGGATGAATGACGCACTGCAAGCAAATGCTAGTTAGGCTAGACAGCCCTACACGACAACATCGCTTACACCATATTCGATGCAGAAGCGATTATCGATTCCCATCAATAGCTGTTCTCGTTCTATAACAAGTTCATCAAGTCAGCCATAATGGTACGGATATCGTTAGTGTCGGTACATGCCCTCACATGCCGAGCCATTTGTATAGCCTGATCTGCCTCTTTCCAGGGCAGAAGCTTCGTCAACAGAAGAATTGAAGGGTGGAGAATTGGCACTATTATCTCCAGGGCTAGGGTTAGTGAGGACTCTAAATTGATCAAGCAAGAAAGCGTACCTATAGTATTTAACTGGCGCCGTGGATAGTCTGCCGGAGCCACAGTGTGGACCCTAGTGGTCCTAGGATTCACGACCCATGTCGCAGTTCCCATAATTTTCAGATCGATATGGACTTTTGTACCACGGTGGTGGTACACCAATCTCTTGTCCTCGCTCTCGGTGATCTTGGGATATTGAGAAGACTAATCCTGGCAGAAGACTTCTATATACTAGGTTAAACTGTTAGCATATCATATGAGATAGGTCACGAATGAAGCGTAACTAACCTGGCGGAACAGCAAGAGAGATGTGGCGGGAAAAGAAAAGTATCGGGCACAGTAAATCGGAGACTAGAGCAGGGGAAGAAGGAAGAGAGTAGATTGAAAGTTAAAAGAGGCCTTTGAAGCAAGTACAACTCGAGACCGGTTTAGGTGAGCAGATCCCTCCCTCCATGCAGATGGATATAAGAATATAGTAGCTAGGTCCCTAGGACCATAGAAGGTTTTGGCTGCTGAGGTTATCGGCCCTATACAAGAATAACAACTAGCAAGGTCCTGCCAATATGGGTTATAAAAGCCGTTGCCAGTGCCAGAGTGCTGGGAAGACTAGGCACAACGGGGTGGTGGTCATGCCTGTTATCTGTCAACAGGGACACGCAGGTTGTTACAGTAATCTATCTCCATAAGTGTATAAGCTGGAGCTGTCGTTGGATTTGATAAAAAAAAATAAGTAGGAGATAGATGATGGGAATGGGGGCTCATTCATGTGGAAAACAAAAGAGAGAGTAGATGCATGTGGGACATTAAATAGTGATGACCAGGCAGAAATTAGGGATTGAGGCATCAAATTTTCCTTAATTCAGACAGAATTTGTTCCCTTGCATCATTGTTCATCTGTTTGAGCAATCTTCTGTGGATAGAAAACATTAGAAGTCATTGACTGCTTCTATCTCATGTTTACAATTTCAAGAGGGCCGTATCGGAACGAGCGATCGTTATTCTTTCCCTCTTCACGTACCTACATTTTGTCTTCACGTATGATACTAAATCTGATCTTTGTGCATGGAAAGGCCTAGTAAATATTAGGAATGAATATCTGCACATGTGTGTCTATTATATACATAGTATGCTGTCCATGCGAGAACCCATATCATGGTTCAGGAGAGGCGCGACGGGTCTTTCGCTTCTTATTCGTGCTAGCCTTGGCCTTGGTGGCCGAGCCACCTCTTTTGCCTTTACTTCGCGAAATAGAGGCTTCTTCTTCTCCCTCTTCGTCCCCGATAGCTTGCTCGCCATCCAGCGAGGTTCCACCTGACTGAGCTTCCTGACGCAGTCGACTAAACGCCTTTTCCATGCGGCTAGGTCCACCTGTACGAACACGAGGGGCAAATGCACCTGCGCCTTGTGGGCCATGCATGAATTGTGTGATGTTGGACTGTGTACCTTCCTGCTCTCGCCGATTCATGTCGCGAATGACCGGTACCAGGACTTCATCAGTTCGCTCTTGGCTCCAGCCGATTGTGGTCATGAGGAAGGCCCGTAACCCATTCAAGTCAGGTACACCCCATTGAAATTGGGAAGGGTCGTCGTCAACCGTGGGTTCCAGGTATGCCTCGTCAACTTTGGTATCAGGGAATGAAGGAGGCAAGAAGATCTTCGATGCCTTCTTTCGGAATTTCTTCCGGAAGGCAAGGTGGGCATCTTCCGCATTATTCGTACCCATTTGCAATTCAGTCCACCAATCGCGGAACTCTTCGAGGCTGGAAAACTCAGTGAGGATCTCTAGGGCTGTGACAGGACCAATGCCAGGAATACCCTCTGTGTAATCGCTGCCCAAGAGATGGGCAAAGCTAATAAGCTTCTGTCGATGGAGGGCATACTCTTTTTCCAAATCGGAAGTCAAGTAGCATTCGACGAATTTACTTTGATTGAACATGTTCTTGTAGACTCGCGTTCCGCCGAAGAGGAAGATATCACTGTCGTCCGTAACAATCCCGTCCACGAGGCCTAGCGAGACCAATTTGGCGCACTGCGCTTCAGCTTCCATAGGCGCAGTAATATAAGGCAATCCAAAGAGCGTCAAGAGCTGTTGACACTCATTGATCATAATAGTGGTCACCTCGTCTGCATCACGACGCTCATTTCTCTGTTGAGACCGTAGTTGCTTCAGTTCTTGCTCGTAGTCGAAGGCTTCCTGGTTGGGGGCGGTAGCATTAAGGGTATTGGCGAATCGCACATGTTCCTCGCCCTCAGCTGCAAGCTGCTTGAACAGCTCTTCATCCTCCGGGTCACTGTAGTCGGCTTGGTCCTGCACGAAATCCTCCACTCGGTCGACCTCTTCAAAGAGCTGAGGCTGGGGTTGGGGTGGGGCCTTTTGATGGGATACAACAGTGATCTCGGGGCCTTGGGTGGGTAGCTGAGGGACAATATCTTCAAATTCTGGCGAAGGAGAATGTTCGGTGCGTGCGGAAGGCCCGTCGATATTTCTATTAATCGGAGCTAGAGCCGCTTCGCTCAAAGGCTTCTCATCCGGATTTGTAGAAAGCTCATTGTAAACCTTTTCAATGGCCTCCAATTGAAAGACTTGTTTGGGTTTCTCTTTCTGCTCTTCCTCATCTTCCTCCTCCTCTTCCTCCTTCTCCTTCTCCTCCTCCTCTTCCTCCTTCTCCTCCTCCTCCTCCTTCTCCTCCTCCTCTAGATCAACGACTTCGTTGGTGGCGGAAATTTCGTCAACATCAATAATTTCCGGCGAGCGACGATTGGAGAGGAACAAATGATCTGGTACCGCAGGTTGCTCATCCTTTTCAGGTTCTTCAATGGGATCGACGATGAATCCTACATCCGGGCGCTCACCAACAAACCATGGAGGAAGTGGGTCTGGCTGTTTTGGTTTCTTTGTAGATTCCTTCACAAACCCCCTGCATTTTCACCGGCTTCGCCGGCTTTATCATTATCTTTCGTGACTTTAGTGAGTTTGATTGATTCGAAAGGGAGAGGACCACCGAATGGATTTGGTGCATATGAGGCCTTCTTCGTAACCTTTGTTCTTGCTATGGCAGCTGAAAAGTCCATTCCATCATCACTCTCAGATTCAGGGTCTGGCACCATCTCATAAGAGGGAGCCGGTTCGGCCGGTCGAGAGATGGGCATATCAGGCATATCTTCGTCGCTGAGTGTATCTGGTTGTAAAGAGAGGGCGATAGCTTGTTCAAGGTCATCATCGTCGCCATCAAAGAAATCATCAGTGTCGTTGTTCTGCTCCTGTGCGCCAATATTTCCTTCGGCTTCTACAAAAAGCGAGTCATCCTCAACCTCTTGCACACGATTATTCGCTGACTGCCGCTGTGCGGTATGGCGCGATTCTTGTATAGCCCTTCTCATGTCTAAATCTTCGTCGGTTTCAAGCTGAAGCGACCGGTCGAATACACCCTCTCGAAGGAAAGGAAGTTTCGGAAGTCGGTTCAAACCTTCGATTGGAACATCCTCGAACTCATCTTCGTCCGATACCTCATCCTCTTCGGGCACTACTTCAGGTCGATCTAGATCGATGGGCTTTTCTTCGTGACCTTCGCGGTTTCCCACGACACCTAGGACCCAGCCACCTTCGTGTTCACGATCCTTCACAAGCACGTATTCTCTGCCACGTTCTCCTGCGATGCGCTGCCCAGAATTGTAGAATGCTTCCTCTCCATTCATGCCGCTTAAATTCATTAATCGTTGCGTAAGGTCATTACGTTCTGCGACACGGTCGATTTGAAACCTCGAGAATGCCATGCGGTCGGGAAACATGGTATCTAGCTGTTCTTTCGAATAACCCATTCGAAGTCGGCTTCTTAGCCTTGCTGCATTCAAGATGTTGTAGCGATCAGTGGCGGGCAGACTAAGGAAAAACATGCTATCGAAGTCGATTTTGGAAAAGTCGTAAAGGTTGATATCTTGTCCCTGGTGGAAATGTCTAGCATACTCCTCCAGTTCCTCTTGGGACATAATGCGTGGATCGTTTGGTGCTCCCATATCTTGAAGCGAGACATCTAGATTAGGTAGGTGGTACGCATCCTTCTTCTTAAACTTGCGAGTTTGCTGCTTTTCTGTCTCTGTCATAAAAGCCTCTTCTGCGTATACCGGAGCATCTGGCACCTCTTCCTCCTCTTGCCTGTGACTCTTATTGCGTCGACGAGCGTCCTCCTCCTCCGCACTGCGTTGCATTTGTACAGCAAGCAATTTTCCCGCAGTCCTTACAGCATCTTCCCTGTGGCCCTCACGTTTCTTCTTTCGACCAGCGATTGTCTGCCTTTTCATAACCGGGGCCCCGCCATCGAAGACGAAGACGGGACGGATCCCGAAATACAGCAGTTTGCATATGCGGCGAAAGAATCCAACGATGTGAGAATTTCGGAGCGCATTGCCTTCTTTGTCTCGCACCGCTTTCAGAAATTGATAGATCCAGATCGACGCGTCGACCGCTAGTCGTTTCTTGTTGAGCGTTTCGAGTTTGATGGGGCGAGCGCAGGGCTGCACGACCGTCCAGAGGCCGGTGACACCCATGGCGAGTCAAAGGGGTATCAGATCATGGGTCTGTACTAGGAAGGTCTCGCATTTTAGAGAGAATCCACATATAATGACAGAGGTGCTCGCAGATAGCTAATTAAGGAGTTCTCAACTTCTGGGACAGGTGACGTGAGCATCGAGCCCCGTGCGTCACTTCGCTCCCGCGCCTCGATCGCGAGATCACGTGGGTAATATTACTGTTTGTAGACTAGTGGTTGTGTTATGTAATCATACCGGGGAAATCATCGAAAAAGTAGTGGGCTTTTTTTGGCGGTTGGTGGGATGTACATTTTTATCTGAGGCAATTGAGACATTCCGTGTAATTTCCTTCTCTGCTTAATGTGTGTAGAAGTTGGCAATGTCTCTTTCACTTGAGGTCAGTGTTGCGATATCTGTAGTCAAAATGCTGTCCCGCTGACTCAAACCGCAGCATATTGATGCTTTTCTCCCGATAACAGGGTTGAAGACGTTTGTATTGGATGATAGGAGATTCATCTTTCAAAGTCAAGGCACATTCTTTCGGGTAGTTGATGAAACTACCGGTGTTGTGGCCGCTCAAGTCCAGATATTCAAAAGAAACAATATTCATGGTTTCATTACTTTGAATGAACGGCTACAGGATCATGATTCGAGCCATGTTCAAATAATTGCCTGGGGTGGTCGTTCGGTACGAGCGGTCAACCTCTTTCTCGCCTCTGACAATGAAGTCACGTTGTCAGCCTCTAGTGCCGAGTTCACTGCTCCAGATTGGATCATGAGCGGGTGCGCTGCTGCTGCAGATGGCCATCACGGGGCATTTTTTATCACTTCAAACAATGCGCTCCTAAGCCTCGAAGTGATCAACAGTGAGGTTCCCGAGAGAACTACAACCATATCCATATATCAGCTGGCGACGAGTGTAAAGTCTATCCTTTACTCCGCCGATGTGATTGCACTATCTGCTTCCCATGTCCTCATTGCCGCCGGTACCGTCTTCGGAGAAATTATCGTATGGTCGTGTTTTTTGAATAAAAATGGATCACACAAAGCTAATGCAATCGGCTCCATTCACCATTTCTTCACGGGGCATGACGGGTCAATATTCGGTGTCCGCATCTCTCCCCAGATCCCGTCCTTGAATGGAGGTCAGTCTGGTAGGATACTAGCCAGTTGCAGCGATGATAGAACTGTTAGGATTTGGGATATATCGGATTGCGAGCACAAAACAGCCCAAGATCCTTCTGCATATTCCACGGACGGTTTTGATTTGCGAAGCACAGGCTTTGGTCCTGTTGAGGCAGGCGAGGAGAGCGTTGGGTCCGAGTCATGTGTCGTCCAAGCATTTGCGCACACAGCTCGCATTTGGGGTGTCCATTTCAGGGTCATCAAAAATAATAACCAAACGCACATGGGGTTGGTTTCCCGTGGAGAGGATTGCACATGTGTTTTGTGGAACCTAAGCTGGCACTCATCATCCGCTGGGACGACTGATTATCAGCTCACCCAGACCTCTTCAATAAAAACACATTTTGGAAAGCACATTTGGTCTCTGGATCTTTGCAGAATTGGCTCTGAGACTGTGGTCTACGCCGGAGGTGCCGATGGTGCACTCAAAAGCTTCCCCATCAAAGAAAATGACGATGAACATCTGGGAAGTGGCCCTGTCGCTTCTTTGTCGCAATCACCTAGCCTCCAAGTAAAGACGAAGGAGAATTCCACAGCTGCTGGAACCAAATCCTTTGCATTTGTCACCCAGGACTACCTTCTTCGCACGTCTACACAAGGTCACATTCAGCTTGGATATCTCAACCACGCAGAGGAGACTGCCATCACCTGGGAGACAATATGTGAGACACCTGACCTTGCTTCTTTTGGTGTCATGACCGCTTTGCCCCAGATGGGCCTGGTATTAATCGGTAATTGCCGAGGATTCATTCGACTCTATAATCACGCCTCGAAATCTGTTATCGATATCGCAGACGTTGGCAACAGACCCCTTGAAATATTCTTCCTTCAGACTCAGTCTTCCAAGAAGGATCCCTTGGGTTCTTCTAAAAAAATCAGCTTCGTCGTCTGTTATCCTACCGGAGAAGAAATAACACTCGTCAACGTTTCCGACTGGAACAGTGATCATCCAAATGCTGAAACATTCACCTTTAGCCTACCATCCACATTCGTGGTTTGCAGTGCGTCTTTCATTTTCGATGGCCAATACCTGATTATAGGATCAAAATTAGGCGCCCTTGCTATATATAATACCTCTGAGGCTGAGCCTTTATTGGTCAGACGCCGTGTTCATGGCCGAGAGTTTGTCAATCAAATTAGCGTCGTGACATCTGCTACTACGAGTGATAGCACAAAATCAGACTTTGTATTGACGTGTGGGCGAGACGGAACATATTGTCTCCATGAATTGCAGCTTTGCGGGGACGGAACGGATGCTGTATCGATGCAGACAGTGCACCGCACAGCATCTATGATTGGTGGGAACATCGAAGGTGCCTATTTCGACAAAGCGACTGGCGATTTCATGTTGTACGGATTCAGATCTCAAGACTTCGTCCTGCGCAATGAGTCGGAGTTGACGGATATCGTATCCATTGCTTCAGGCGGCTTTCGCCGAGGCTGGGACTTCATCCCAGGAGACAAAAAAGACAATGCTTTGTTCACGTGGAAAGACGGAACTTCTTTAATGACTACTCGTATACGAGCTAGTGCTACTACTTTACTCCGAGCTGGAGCTCATGGACGGGAAATCAAAGCGATAGGTGTTTTCAATCCTACCGATGGAGGTCGGCCTCTGTTTGCGACTGGCGCAGAGGACACCACTGTTCGTCTTTTCATGCCAACCCCGTCATCAGCTCCAAGTCCATGGGGTAGCTTTGAGTGCCTGCGCGTCTTGGATACACACAGGTCTGGGATCCAGCAGGTGACCTGGTCCAAGGATGGGAGCTACCTGTTCACCAGCGCTGCATACGAAGAGTTTTTCGTGTGGAAAGTCCGCACCATTCCTGTCTTTGGCGTTGCCACAAAATTGATGGCTGCCAGTCCGAAGGACGACGTGAATTCGGATCTCCGGATACCTAGTTTCGATTTGTTGGAGGTAGAAGAAGTTGACGGGGAGCGTGGTTTCCTTCTGTGCCTTGCTCTTTCCAATTCTGTTTTTAAGGTAAGGGTGGCTCTTTCCTTCAAATATCTCGGCTAATACTAACTAATCTTCCTGTAGATCTTCCATTTTTCGCCCTCTAACGGAGGCCAATTCACTCTCCTGGCTCGTGGGAAATATATGACCAATTGTTTGACTCAAGCCCACTTCTTGGTGACGAGCTCTTCTGTGAGCCTTATCACCGCAGCGACTGATGGCCACTTCACACTGTGGGATCTGACAAGCACACTGGAACCATTTTACACCATCACAAAACCCACTTTGAAGGCCAAGCAAACCTTTGACGGCTCTTCTATTTCACCAGAAAACATCACATGTGAAAGTCGATATCAGATTCATTCCAACAGCATCAAAGGGATGGAATTGGTTCCTATCTCTGACACAGCCACTGTTGTTGTGGCTGGAGGTGATGATAACTCTCTCTCGGTGTCCCTCCTGCGGGTACATCCATCCAACACCGGCACAAATGCACAGGTAGCAACGGTCTCTATCCCCGATGCTCACGCTGCGGCGGTCACCACGGTCAAAGTCCTCAATCAGCGAATCTCTCGTGATGTTACATCAGATACAGAATCCATTAAATTCACCGTTGCATCCTCTGGCAACGACTACCGAGTTAAAATATGGTCAATTTCCGTGGACCCTGCACAGGATGGTACGGAGGGGATCATTGTCAGATTCTTACGGGATACATACAGCTCTGTGGCTGATATAGCATCATTGGGACTTGTCCATGGGTCTGGGAATGACCTTCCCGCAGAGAGCCAAGTGCCTGGATCGGAAATACAGCAGTCGCGATTGGTTGTATGCGGTGTGGGCATAGAGATGTTTGCTGCCGAATCGGATCAAGCTTTATCTGCATGATGCCGATTCGATGTCGGATGTAGATAATATTTCAATGCAACCATATGAACATAGATGATACTATGCGAGAGTATAGTTTTGGGAAATAAGATGACGATAGCAAATCCACCGGGCAAGAGGAAGATAGTAGCAGACTACTCGGGTAAGAGGAAGACATAAGCGAATTAGGGCATGCGTTCTAGCTGCATGACGGATCCATATCCAGTAGAGGAAAGCCATACGACTGGACAATATAGGGACTTGGGGTATTCGTTAACTCCGACGAACTACTCAGCATCTCTGAAATAAGAAAATAGCTTGATTATCCCAACACTACTCTATGTTTACCCCGCAGTTTCGGGGAATTCACCGTATTTTGTCCTAATATGGATGAGGCGGAACGGCCCCATTTGAGGAAATGATTGACAAAACTGCTTAATTAATTTATCCCTTCTCAGCTCTTGGCTTGTTTGGAAGGGACGAGTACACGTATATAAGGAAAGAACTATGGACGTGTGCATACTTTCTTCCAATAGACTACACTAGGCATTGCATATTTTTCTCATCATGAAGTATCTCATTGGTATGATCGTCGGTGCTGGGCTGACTGCTGCTGTCCCCTTGCAAGCTCGTGCTACAGACACTTATTTCTTTACATTGTGAGTGATAAGTTGTATCTCTACTTGTCGTTCGTTGGGAAGGGAGCTAAAAGGAATCTGCAGTGGCAATTCCTACACGATGACCAGTTTCGATGTCGGTGGGACGCAGCCAACTGCTGACAACCCAATGGGTAACCCAGCACTAGGTGAGTTTTGTTCGTCATCTGGCAATTAGCCTTGACTGATTTAAAACAACAGGTACCGGAACAACCACTGGCGGTGCCAACTGGGTGGGATACCTGACTACTGTGAACAATGCCTCACAAGTCCTCAGCTATAATCTCGCTGTTGGGGGAGCGTCCCTCGACAATTCCCTTGTTAGCACCAATACCAAGGAAGATATGGTAACG